GTGTGTGTGTGTGTGTGTGTGTGTGTGTGTGTGTGTGTGTGTTACTCATCCTGCATGTACTGTCACATCATCAGGACTTGATCCATTTTGTTGGACAAAGAGGAAGCACTCATAAATTGCAACATTGAAAAGCGCTCTATAAGTTCAGTACCATTTACCATTTACCATTTACATTTCATTGTGAATAGTTGTGGTCAGTGTGCACCTTCAGGAAATGAGCATGAGTCATTGTTACAGCAAAAATGAGGAAATATGGTTTAGAATATTCTGTCTGAACTCTGAGGTTTTGTTCTCTTGCAGCAAATTGTTCATTGCTGTCAATAAAAGATATTTATATTAACATATTACTATTATCAGTGACAACAAAATATCTAAAAGTTATTTGTTCCTGCAATCAAAGACATCGGTGTTTCATGTTACCGATCCACGTGAGTCATTCAGCCCAAAATTAAAATGTAATTAGTTTAGGTAATAAGCATAGATGATAAAGGACTGCATTTATCTATACAGGACAAATGTCTTATCACTTTAATTTAGTCTTGAAGTAAATATGTTTATTAGCAGAACATTTAAACACACAAAACAAGATCATTGAACTGTCATTTTTCTTTGTCAGTAAACATCATTTTCTGATAAAAAAAGATTTATTTTATGTGAACAGATGACAGTTGATCAGTCACACTGAGGACAGTTTACTGATTAATGCAATATAAGAACCACTCAGTGGAGCGTCACAAATTAAAATTATGTTAGGTTTAAATAAAAGGTCTAAAAATTAAAAAGCAAAAGTACATCAGCAAATTTATCAGAACATGAGGCACAAGATTTTATTATAGTGCAATAGTGGTCATAAAAAGTGTTATCATTCATTTGGTGCTTCTGTGGTAAGATTATAATAATCTTGTAGTATGGAGTTGAAACAAAATAAACTCCATATTGTGGCTCTGTAAAAAACATTTTGCAAAAAGAAACACATAAATTTACAAAAGCTGCAATTTGTTGCCATAGAAAACATACATTGTTCATGAAATGTCCTGTTTTTAACCATTTAAACACAGATGTGCTAAAACTAAAACACCTTTAGCTTTTATTTTACTTTCCTTGTGCTGTTAACTTAACAGCACTACAAAGACTGATTAAAGGGTTTATTATTATAGCTCAAGTCAATAAAAATAGAGATAAAAATATTTTTCCTGTTTGCTCACCAAGTATTTGTGTAGGCTGTAAAATAGGACTATTTCCAAGAAACTAACTTTACTCAAAATTTGATAAAGTAAATTTCTAGTCTGGGCATCATCTCTCCATCTGGATCTTTCAAATGATCCCCTCAAACTCACATAATATAAGGACACCATCTTGCAATCTCAGTAAGTAAAATGTCATGTTATCTTCCTAATCTACCTTTAAATTAAGGTTTTCTTAAAACCCTTATCATTTTTTTCAAACTGATTGCTGCAGCCCCTTAATAGAGTGTTTTGTTTTATTAAGATGAAGCTTAGGCCTTTCTCTTTACAAAATAAAGCACTGGAATAACTGATTACATCCTTAGCATAGACCAATAAACATTAGGTTTTCAAAGTGGTACCCCTTAAACACAACAAGCTTGTTGCCAGGTTTGGCGATAAATAAAAAAATATATATATTTATCGTTTTGAAAGAGCAGAATCTGAAAATCATAATGACTCCATATTGGAAAAGTTCCACATTGTCATTAATTTTGCTAATAGAGCTTACACATGATTGGCGTGTTTCTAAATATGCAGAAACCGCACACCTGAAGGATGTTTAACTAATTAAAAACTTTCCTCTTTAAGAAAGCTTAATGTGATTAAAGCCTAACCATGTATATTTTATTTGCACTTTTAAATGTTTTTATATTGACTCTTTTCTTATTGATGTTTTTGTTGTTTTTAATCTGTCTCTGTAGCACTTTGAAGTTTGTCATCAAATGTAAAGTACATTACAAATAAAATGTCCATCCATCCATCCATCCATCCATCCATCCATCCATCCATTTTCTGTACACGCTTCTTCCTTTTCAGGGTCACGTGGGTCACTGGTGCCCATTTCCAGCAGTCACAGTGCGAGGGGGAGGGTACACCCTGGACAGGTCGCAAGTCCATCACAGGTAAACACAAATACACACAAATAAAATGTATTATTATAATTATGYTTAACTAATTACTGAAATATAACAAATATGTGATATAATAATATATTTGTGTTTCTGGAATACATGTATTTAGTATTTTTGCAAAAAGTGTGCTTATAGTTKTGAGTGAACTAGAAACCGGAGCGCTGCAGTAACCCTGACTCACCAGCAGAGGGCGACATTGACTCAATTTTGTGAATAAAAAGGGAACCAGTTGAGTCTCTTTTATTATTCTTTTTTTCTTATTTTACACGCGCAGCCGTCCTCCACGGGACGGTCAGCTTATTTCCTCCTTTTACATTATTTCTTCTTTTTAAAACAATATTATTATTTTCATCAGATTCCCCACCAGCTGTCCCAGTGTGCCCGTCTGAGCCCGGGACCGGCTGTCCTCAGACCAGCCGCCCCACACAGATCCTCCAGCTGTGGGGCTCCAGTCCCTCAGGCTGGGGCGGCCATGTTGTTGGTGTGTGTGTGTGGGTGGGGGGGTTGATGGAAGTTTAGGGAAGTAAAGGCTCCGTCTCCAGGATCCCACTTTTCCTCCCCCCCACCCCACCCCTTCTATTTTTTTTCTTCCCAATCAGCGGCATGACGGATTCTTTCTCCCCTCTCCTCTGACGACCACCATGACCGCTTCCTCACCGCCTCCATCAGCGACCCGCGAGCCGCTTTTGACGGAACCAGAATCGAACCGCTGGATGGAGGAAGTCAGGATGAAGGAGGCGGCTCGGTCCCGACTGGAATAACTCGGATTTACTTYGTCCTGGTCTGATTCGAAGAAGAAGTGGAGGGGAGAAAACCAGCTCGGAGGAACGCGGGATTTCAGAAGGTAAATAAGAAAAGACAGAAGAGAAAATGTGTAGAACAGCTGCAGGAGGAGGAGGAGGAGGATGAAGATGATGATGATGAGAACAGGACGGGCCGGAGCGCAGCTGCTCCTGTCTGACCTGTCATCCAACAAAGGATTGAAGCCTGTATTGTCCTCGTTTAACCCTTTATAAACACATAAAAGCACCAGAGGATGAGCAGCACGTGCTTCAGCCCCCCTGAGGAACAGACCTAAATTAAATATGTTGCAATAAAACACTGCAGTGATTTCATCTGGGTCATTAATTATGGTTTAAACACAACAAACAGGAGCTAACTKGTCGCTGAGGGAGTAAACAAAGGCTAAATACACCATTTTATATTTTAAACCAATTTTAAACGTTTATTTGGCCGTTTTGGATTTTTAGTATAAATATGTAATTTCTAAAAAAGTCCCAAAAGGTTTTTAAGAAGCATCTTTACTCTGTAAACCTGAAATTCTCTGTGATACATATTGCTTCAGATCTTTTTGGCTAAGATTTAATATAGTTTTTAATCCGTATGATGTGCAGTTTTTCCACGTGCTTGAAAATTACTTTCATTTTTAACTTGATCTGCACCTTTTGCTCTTGCACCACTTTTTTCCCCTCTCTTTTGAGAGCTTTTATTTTATTCCACTCTTTTATCAGGGAATGCAGAGTAGAGTTTTGTTCTTTTAACAGCTGCACCTTCTCTATTTCTGTTTGCTTTTCTTGCTCAATCAGATTCTTTCAGGCTTTGAAAGTGATTCATTAAACGATTCAGTAAGAAGTCACTTCCTGAAGAGTTGATCCTCCAAGGATGCCTGAACTTGGAGTGAGGGCTGTGTTAAAGGGGGGGAGTTCCAGTATTTCCAAAGATGTTAAATTTGTTGCACAAGTTCACAGACAGAAACATGTACTGACCTATAATGTGTTTGGGACGTGTTCGACACCGTATTCATGTCTTTTACCAGAGCAGAGCTGCAGGTTTGCAGCTTGTTTGAAGAGCGATGAGAAGGACTCATTGAAGATGGCGTCATCTTTACTCTGTCGAGCTGACGCTCTGTGAGCCAAGTTAGGAGAAATAGAACTGTTTTAATTTGGACATTAGATCATTGATGCATGTGTCACTGTTTTCTGAAAGAAGAAAATGTTTCAGTTGTCAAGACAAATTGACTAAAAGACATCTTTCACAAAGATTATGTTAATTTTTTTAAATAAATTTGAGAAAACCACTTAAGATGACATGAATAGGTTTTCCTTCCTGGTTGCACCAATTAGATTATATTTATCCCTGATGCAAACTCAATTTCTTTTCCAAATAAAACTATGTATACTATAGCCTGCTGCATGATCTGCTAGCACTCTGACTGTGTTAGGGATTACTCTTAGCTAACACCATTCTGAAATGTAGCTGAAAGCTACAGCCGTTTGTTATGATAGGTTAGTATCAAATTGGATTTAGGATCTGTTGCATTTTGCTCAGAGATTAATAGCTTAAATGAACAATTGATTTGATTTGATTTATTTATTTAACAGGAAAAGATTATTAAAAATCAAGCCTGACTCAGCATAATTGCTGTTTTACAGCAGGTTCCTGTTCTGCAGCACGTAAAACACTCAGAATTACAGCATCACAATCACATCATTATTATTACACCATAGACACAAAGACAAACAAGCATACCAAATTTCAAAAAGGCAGCATTTGCAAAATAAGACGTCTAAATATGAGCACAACAAAAAGTGTCCAGCAGATGGAAGACAAGATTCTTGTTAAAGGGCTGTAGTTTTGAAATGGACTTTATGTTTTGAGGAATGTCATTCCATGCTTTAGAATAAACATAGAAGAAAGACCTCTGGCCGTAACAGTTTTTAAAAGTTGGTAATATCAGTTGTCTTTTTGTAACAGATCTAGATGAATGACCACTTCCAGAATTTGATTTGGTCAGCAATGCACAGAGAGTTCCATAATTGGCACCTTGGAAGATCTGAAAATATAAATTAATACCACTATACAAAACATAATTCTGAAAAGTCAAGGCATCAGACAATGAAAGAACTGTASAGTGATGAGTCCAACCAGGAAGTTTTTTATGAATTTTGTATATCAAAACAAATGTCCTGATGCATCTCAGTAATCCAGGTAAAAAATTAAAAAGAAAAAAATTGTATAGGTCTTCTGGACGGGTTCTTCTCTAATGAAACGTTTCGTCTCTCCTCCAAGAGACTTCTTCAGTCTGAGAGTTTCAGGCACAATTCAGGCTTTTAAGCACTGCCTCCATGTGACTGATACTCACATCACATGGCTATCGTTGACACCTAATTAACACCTATTGTTAACAGGGGTGGAGTGATACTGGCAATGGCAGCACTGTAGGAGGGGGACAACTGAAAACGGAGGCCTCCACCTCTGTTTAATGATGGACGGTCTTTCTTCACAAAAATGGCTTCTTTTACTCCTCTCTCAAACCAACGTTTCTCTCTATCAAGAATGAGAACATCCTCATCTCTGAAAGAGTGACCGCTGGCCTGTAAATGAGTGAAAACTGCAGAGTTCTGGCCATTAGATGTAGCTCGTCTGTGTTGGGACATTCTTTTGAACAGTGGCTGCTTTGTTTCCCCGATGTATAACTGGTCGCAGTCCTCCTGGCACTTAACAGCATATACAACATTGMTCTGTTTGTGCCGGGGCACCGGATCATTGGGGTGAACCAGCCTTTGCCGTAATGTGTTTTGGAGTTTGAAAGCCACTGGGACATCATGTTTAGAAAATAAGCGTCTCAGTTTCTGTAAAAACCCTGTTTGATTTTTATATATTTTGTTATCTGCAGAGTCTTTTCCAGACCCTCTCCTAACTGGTTGATTGCAGAGAATTCCTAAAACATCTGTTCATCCTTGTGAGGCTTATCTTGAAAACATGCTTATCTTTTTTTGTGTGTGAATCAGAAAACAAACTGTTTCGTCTTTTACTTACTGTTAATGTTCAGTAAAACTCAGAGCAGGGGTAATCCTACACATGAACTCCTAAAGCAGCGCAGAATAAATCCTCACCATCCCCTCACAAAGAGGGAGGGGGAAAAAAATCAGTTGATGATTTTCAGAATGAATCAGCGTGGTCACGTGACCTCCAGACCCAGTTTGAGGCGTTTGGTGTAAAAAGTAACGCGGCGCACAGAAGCAGCCAGCATCTGCAGCAGATCTGAGGCTCTGCAGACCTCTTCCTGTCTGCAGTTACAGCTGGGCACAGTTTCAGTCAGACCGCTGGCTGGTGGGTGGAGGAACTCCAGCGTCGTACTTCCTTTGCGCTCGACCGCCTGGCTGTCATCCAGTCACGTTTCTACTGATCTAAACCCCCCAGAGGAGCGAAGCCCCTGTTTAAAAACAGCCAGACGAGAAATAGTTTGGGATCAGATTTCAGCTCATTCATAATGCACAGAATGTGTGCGCTGTGATGTCTCTTTATTTCAATATTTCATTGCGGTTCAACACTGATTTTGTTGCTACAAAAGCTTCACCTACAGATGAAACACAGTTCGCTCTGAGTGTGATGTGAAGTCAGTGAAACGTGAAAAAGGAAAACCTGATTGTCTTCTAACCTTTCAGTTAGAACTTTTTTTTTYATGGATTCACCAAAGAAATGGGAACAAATTCTGTCTTTGCTGCTGGAGCCTAAAATGTAAAAAAATGGTTTTAGTTTTAAAGATGTCAAACTGGTTCATCCTTTAAGTTTGGGAGAGATGGTGAAAAAGCAGCTGAAGTACAAAATGAATTTAAAATAAATCTTAAAAACTTTCATAAGTCCTGAAAAAAAAAAAAACTGTTCAGGTCACATTTAAAGGCACAGATCCTACAAAATCCACTTTTTCGGCTGTTAAATACATTTTGTTGTGTTCTTTGAGTCTAGCAGTGCAGAAAGTTGTGTGAAGCACCTTGTTTGGATTTAAAGAGACAGCCCCAAAACGAGTTGATCTGAGACACGCCTCAGGTGAAAGAGGGGCTTGTGGAGTTACAATAAGGAGGAATTCAGACCAAAGCATTGCAGTTCCACTTCTACAGACCCCAAATGAATAATGTAAATGTAAAAAAGAAAGAATAAATATGTGATATATCTCCCTAAAAAAAGATTAGAGCTGGCAGCTTGGAAACATGAACTAAGGCAACTGTTCAGACGTGATTAGTTGATAAAACCGACACATGCTATAATATCTGACTCAAAACTCAAACACTTTGTAGGAATCTTGCACTTTCACCCAACTGCATATATTTTCTGTCTAGAGTCTTCTTTGGAAAAAAAAACTCAGCTACATGAGGTAAGTTTGTGGGATGGAAAACAGCTGAGCTCTTCACTGTTCTAGCAGCTTCTCGTAAATCCTGCACACAGAACGATCGTGCTGCGGTCAGAACTGGGAAAGGAAAGTACCGGCAGGTCGTTGATAAGGCAGCTTTGAATAATGACTGTAACACAAGAATATACAAACAATGATTTCTTGCTTTTAGAGCTGCGGGGGACAGTCTGAGTATTTTTCTGTCACAGCTGGTGGTGAGGCTGGGATAAACCGCTGTATGCTTTTGGTTAAGTGTGCAAAACTCCAATCCTTTTGTCTCATTCTTGCAATACATGTAACTGAATTGAGACTCCTGGTGGAAACCGAGAGCGTGAGAGTCTGACTCGAGATCAGTGGTAGCACTAAAGATGGAAGGTCAAGAGTCGTAACCTKTTGGACGTCCAACGTCTTCTGTAAACCTCGGATATCCAGGGAAAGATTTGTTCCTTCGGGGGAACATCTGGAACTGAATCAAATCTCTGCAAATAGATCAGTTTGTTTTTCTTTTGTTTATTATGTATTTCCTGGAAAACTTGACAATGAAAGCAACTATTTCTCAACAATGGAGGAGAACACAACTGTTTTCAAACACAGACCAATTTCAGCAAGTCTGTACTGTTTCTAATATCCTCGAGGAAGAGACTGGATCCCTGCCAKCGTTTGAACAGGAGTAT